AACTTGCACCCTTGTTTACACCATGGAAGATCTAAAAGGTTTACAATAACCTTGGTTAGTCTTGATGGCGTATTTAGTATTACTATACATTGATTTTATCAAAGTGGATTATTATTTCTGTCACTCCTGCATTAGCCAATTTAAAAAGAAGTCGAAGGCTTTGCGTAAATCCACAAAGCAAGCATAAAGATAATGTTTGCCCACTTTATTTGTATTTTTGTTTATTTCAGAATATAGACATTGTCTGTAGTTCGATGATTTTTTCTAAAAGAAATTGTTTTTGTCAAGAAAATGCTGTATTCTGATATGAATAATTGTATTAAAGATTTTTGAGGTGGCGCTAGAAAGCGCAGTTCCTTTGTAGTTATTTATATATTTATATTAATTGTTACTAAATAACTAGTACTCCAGTGTACAGGAAAACATCCACTTGATAAAATATGGTTGAAAAGTTCGCTCATACAAGCTAATAATAGTGGACTATAGCATTTGTATATATATATATATATATACACATTTGGTTTATAGCCAAGTTGCAGTTGTTTAAAATCATCAAAATCAAGTATTTCTGCTATTCTGGAGCCTGAATTTGGTTGTGTATGGGTAGATTTTGTTCAAACTTGGTACAAACATCAGACATTATAAACCTTTGATGCATGTTTTGTTTTTCAGATCATATTCAAAATGGCTGACTGGTGGCCATTGTGAATGCATTTTTGGTGCCATATGCCTGACATTCTCTGACAGTTCTTGGTCAAACTTTATATATTTATTAAAACTTGAGGAACACAGGGACTTGAAACCTCACAGCATTCACACTATAGCTGCCAATTAATTAATTAATTCTTTAATTTTTACTTTCACTATCGTGAATTAATAAATGTTTTTATGGTAACCCTATTCAAACAGTGCTTTTGATGTTTTTTGATGATCATTATTCATCTTGATTGATCTTGTTTCATCTTGGAAAATATAATGACAACAAATCATCTTTTTTTAGCGATGGAGAAATGCAGGATTCAATGATAAATTTACTCTGCCACCAAGAAATGAATTCATCCCAACAAAATTTGAGATCACACCCAGGGAAGAAGAGACCGCACCATTCCCAGTACTGATCAAGGACACTTCAATGACTAAACTGTGGTTCAAACAGGATGATACTTTTCTGCTTCCAAAGGCTTGTATGCTCTTTGAATTCACAAGGTAAGACTATTTACTACCTTATACTAAAATATGTTTGGATATTTAGAGTACTAAGGAATTCTCACTTAGACTTAAAATACATCACGAATATTCACTTCACTTTTCACATTTTTGGTATGTGTTCATTTAGTAATTCGAACTTCCCAGTTTGCGTAAAAGGGAGAGTTTCACGATTTTGACATCAAAAATGCCTTTGCTTCATTACTTGCCGAGGGACGGCTGCTTAGGTATGTGCTCTGTAACTTACAGCACATGAACCTAAAAACAAAAATGACATTGTACTATAGTATGTTCAAGGTCTTCATTTTTTTCGTAGCATAAAAACGATTTACTCCCTCGCTCATTGTGACACCCTCAAATCAACTGATTTCCATTCCCTTCAAGAGTCAAAATGATATGTGCCTCCATTTTACGCCACGACTGGAAAAAGTCTTTTTTGCTTGACGTGTTCATTTGCCTTCAATTACGTTTCAGTGGCTGTCACTGTCGCATTCTGAGTCTTGCTGATAACATTTTGGTTAAAATCCAAGTTTGCTATCGCCAAAAATTCAAGAAATCTTTCATTTCTTTGTCAACTAACATGCCGGAAATCAAATTAGCATAACAATGCGTTCAAAGGTTGTCGCCATTTTATTCGTCAGCTTTCCATACCAGTGCCACACCACATACAACTAAAACATTTAAACCTTTGTTGGAAAATTCATGTGTAAATTGCGTTTTTAAGTCGCATACCATAAATTGCGTTTTACAGTCCCTCAAGTTTGTTCCAAAGACTGTAGTCGCACCAGAGATAACCAGAACATTGATTAGTTTAAAAACGTTTTTTGACCTTTGTGAATTGATGATAAGCAAACAATCATGGTAGATTGGCTCGACTTTCTGTCGATCGGAAACGCAAGTAAGATAAGACTCTATTTTCATAGACGCAGGTCGTTTAGTAGATCGGACGGTTACATTTGTTTCAGGTTGGTTGTTGTTTCGGGTGAATATAGAACATGTTCAAGCCCAAAATTGTAGCAATAATGTTCATGTCGCTGTACGTTAAAACACACTCTCGAACTCGACAACATTCACTTACGGACCACTAAGATTGATGATTCGATTGCTGACCGGAATAGCTGCATTTAGTGTTCATTTCTATGCAATATAAAATCATATCGATGCTGTGGGTGGCGAAGGCTGACAAATTATTTTGGTTCTGTGGCTGGCTCTCATGGCACGGGCAACTGACATTACCTGACTTTTTTTTACTATTCTGACGTGTTCTGGGCTGTATATAACATTTAGACACTGACAAGTAAGTAGATTGGTACTAGTAAACAGCCCGGGACATAGTCAATATATGAGTCTGAATCAGTTAGAAAATAGCGTCATCTCACAGTATTCCATTAATGAACGAAGTTCACATAACAATCTTATGCCTACAAATCATCCCATCACATGTTTTCGGCTGTTGCCACGGTAGGCACCGGGCACCATATACAAATTTACTTTATTAGTCCCCGTTCGGACGAAGTCCGAAAACGGGGACTTATAATTCGGTCTCTGTCTGTGCGTCCGTCCGGAGTCATATTTCAGAATCCTGTGGACCGATTCTATTCATTCTTTGCATGTGCCTAGTACTTTATGTGGGACATATGCACATGCAGTGGTTTAGTGATTTGATTCAAAATGGCCGACTGGCAGCCATCTTGTTTTTTGAAAATGTTGTATTTTGGACATGCTTTGTCAGTTGTCATTCAAACTTGGTACATAGATTATACATGTTAGGATACATGTCCATGACGATTTATTTCGCAATTGGATCAAAGATGGTCGACTGGCAGGCATTTTTTTTTTTTATGCAGTATCTTGGACGTGCTCTGTCAGTTTTTATTCAAATTTGGCACATACATGTACTTTATACATGTTAGGATGCATGTCCATGACAGTTTGTTTCAAAATCTGGTCAAGGATGGCCGATTGACAGCCATCTGACTTTTTGGCCTTACTACTATATTTCCACAATTTATGTACCATTTTCATCCGTATTTGGCACATACATCATACATATTAGTGTGTTTCATAATCAGATCAAAGATGGCTGAATAACGGCTGTTTTTATTTTTGGCCATATTACTACTACACGGAACCTGTGTTTTGATGTAAATAAACAATCTGTTGTATATGCCACTTGGAACTCAAGTTTCAAGGACACGCTCGCGACAACCCCTCCGCTTTAATATGACAAGCACAAAGAGAACTTTCAAAAATTTAACGGGGACCGTGTCATTTTCAATGATTTGTTTATTGCTAGAACGTATTCTGATGTTAAATTTATTATTTCCAACTGTTTCGCAATAGTATTTTCTAGATTGAAGGTAGTATTTACAGTTCATTCAAAGTTCAAAGTTGCGTTGGGATTATATTGATACAGTGTAACAATGTCGGCGCCGGTGATCTCTTACCGGTGTGCAGGCAACGTAGCCAAAATAAAAAGCATGATCATTTAAATACTGCTATTACAAGACTGGTAATAGGTAATAAATTTAGGGCGAAAGTATTCCAATTAGTAGCGGTACGACCTGCCTGTCAAGTATGAACAAAGTCAGCCAAGCCAAAAATATCACAGAAGAGTTAAAAAGCAATTCTTGGTGAACTTTGTGGTCAAATTTCTCGGTAATGAAAAAAGATATCAAAAATTCAAACAGTAACTTTGTGCCCACACTCAAGCTGAGTAGAATGAGCTATGTCTGACGTGTTTTATCCTGAATTTGTAGGAGAAGAAATATTTGGCGCAAAGCTATTCAAAAATCAGTTGTTTGGTTGTTGCTATGGCAACGGTGGGCCACAATTTTTTTCAAATTTTCCTAATAACTAGGGTGAAGGTGTGACATACCTGCCACGTTTGAGTGAAATTGGCCAAGCCAGAAAAATCACAGAAGAATTAATACGTGAAAACTGTGGAAATCACAGACACACACACAAGCAAGTAGGCTGGTTGGCGATCCACTCTGCTGAAAAAGCAAGCAACATGTTTTCGGCGGTTGTCACGGTAGGACATGAACGTAAAGTTAACGTTGGTTCTTAACTAAAACCAAGTCCCGTATACGAAATTCGCCAAAAAAAAATCAGTCTTTAGAAGTTACTTTATTTTATTGTTAGGACATATTCTGTTGTTAAATTTATTATTTCCAACTGTTTTTCTGGATTGAAGGCAGCATTTACAGTTCATTCAAAGTTGCTTTGGGATTATGTTGATACAGTGTAACAATGTCGGCACCGGTGATTTCTTACCAGTGTGCAACATAGCCAAAATAAAAAGCATGATGATTTAAACACGGCTATAATTACAAAACTAGTAGGAGGTAATAAATTTGGGGTGAAAGTATTCAATTAGTTTTTGGCTGTTGCAATGACCAAGGAAGGTATTAGTACCTTCCATGCAATGACAGTGGTGGGCCAGGATTTGTTTCCAATTAGTGACGGTACGACCTGCCTGTCAAGTATGAACAAAATCAGCCAAGCCAAAAAAATTTAAAAGCCATTTCTGATAAAAAGTTACCTCCACTTTGAGGTCAATTTTCATGGTAATGAAAATAGACATAAGAAAAACAAACTGTATATTTTTTGCCTACACCCAAGCTGAGTATAATGAGCTATGTCGTGCTTTTTATCGTAGAAATGTAGGGTGAGATACATTTGGTGCAAATGTATTTAAAAATGTATTTGCCTGGCTGTTGCCATAGAAACAGTGTACCAGAATTTGTGTTCAGATTTTACAACCTAACCACAGTGAAGGTGTGATTTGCCTGGCATTTTTGAACTAAATAGGCTCAGCCAAAAAAATCACAGAAGAGTTAAAAAGCCATTCTTGGTGAATAGTTACCCCAACATTGGTGTCAAATTTCTCGGTAATGAGAAAAAATTCAAATAGTAACTTTGTGCCCACACTCAAGCTGAGTAAAATGAGCTATGTTATGGGTGTTTTATCCCAAATTTGTAGGAGGAGATACATTTGGCTGTTGCTATGGCAATGGTGGTCCAAATTTTTTTACCAGATTTTTTTCCAATAACTAGGGTGAAGGTGTGACCTACTTGCCAATTTTGAGCGAAATTGGCCAAACCAATAATACATAAAAACACTGGAAATCACATACAAACCTACAAAAATGATTTATAAGGGCAATCCTAGCAGAGCGGATCGCCAATATGTTATTTAGAGTACTAACAAATTCCCACTTCCGATTTGATTAGAATTAAAAAACACCACAAATATTCACTTTTGAGATTTTTGGTATGTGTTGGTTCTTGGATATTTCAGCTTTGTTGTCCTGTACTTCATTTACTAATTAAAACTTCCCAGATTATGTAAAATCAGAGAGTCTCTCGATTTCGATATCGAAACCGCCTTGGCTTAATTATTTGCTGGGGGACGGCCGCTTAGGTAGTGCTCTGCAACTTGCAGCGCATGAACCTAAAAACGTTAGGTAATCAACTTCACAGGAAGTTGACAATCCCTAACATTGCTAAATCTCCAGTTGTGAACTTTATCAGGATTCCCATATAAAGTTACACATCATTCTAGCAAGGAAAAATATTGATTGCTGTTATATAATAAAATATGAAATAATTAATATTTCAATTTTTGTTACTATATCTTTATTTATTAAAATATTCACACATTATATAATAACAACTTTATTTAATTAAGTGCAACAATTCCAACATATGAAGATCAAAGGCGCTGATACAATAAACAATCAGTCAAATATTAAAAGCACATTTAAATAAGTGCGTTTTCAGTCTGGATTTAAAAATGTCTACTGAAGGACTAGAACGAACAGACAGAGGTAATTCATTAAAAAGTTTAGGACCTAAATTTCCAAAAGCACGGTCTTTGTATAACACCTTGGACTTTTTACTACACATCTGACGAGTTTTAATAAGGAACTTTGATTCAGATCTTAAACTACGACTAGGTACATAAAATTCGATTAATTCACATACATAATTTGGGGCAAAACCATACAAAGATTTATACACTATTAAAAATCATTTGAAATTGATTCTTTGTACATCTGGTAACCAATGAAGTTTAATAAAAATGTCTGTAATGTGGTCATATGCACGAGTGACAAGGCGTGCTGCTGCATTTTGTACATGAATAAGAGGTTTTATCTTAGTTACAGGGAGACCAGACAATAATGAATTACAGCTGTCTAAGCGAGAAGATATGAAACCATGTACCAACTTTTCAGTATCAGATTGGGATAATGATTTACGAATACGATTAATATTTCGTAGATGGGAATATCCAGATCTACAAATAGTAGAAATGTGTGTTTCCATTGATAGCTGCGAATCAAACAAGACACCTCAGTTTCTAGCACTTGACGAAGCACTAACCAATTCTTCACCAATTGCGATACTAGACAAAGGACACTAGTCTTGTGAGAAACTCTGAGACAACATGGACACAAATTCAGTTTTCGACACATTCAAAAGTAGAAAATTACAAGACATCCAATCGCTAACATCTTGAATACATGTTTGAATACGCGAATTTGATCATCTTCAGAAACCGATAAATAAATCTGTGTGTCATCGGCGTAAAAATGATATTTTACGCCGTGACGTCACAATAACTTGCCCAATGGACGCATGTACATTGAGAACAATAATGGCCCTAAAACGGAGCCCTGTGGAACACCGGTTTCTAATATAGACGTCATATCAGAAAATACATTTCCAATTTTCACTTTTTGAATGCGGTTACTCAAATACGACTCAAACCATTTAATGATGAAACCATTTAAACCAAAATTTGATCTCAACCTATCGATGAGAATCCTGTGATTCACAGTATCAACAGCGGCTGAAAGATCTAAAAGTACGAGAGCAACTGAGTACTTAGAATTATCAAAACTGCATAGTACATCGTTAGTGACCCGCAAAAGCGCCGTTTCAGTGCTATGTGCGGTCCGATACGCTGAATGAAACTCTTCATACAACGAATAATTCTCTAAATGTTGTTTCACTCTGGATGCAACGACACGTTCAAGGACTTTAGATATAAAAGACAAATTAGAAATCGGTCGATAATTTTTCAGCATGTTTGAATCCAACGATGCTTTCTTGAGCAGAGGTTTAATCAGCGCACATTTCATTTTCTCAGGAACACTTCCAGTGCGAAGTGATTCATTTATGATATCTGTTATAGGTGAAACCAGGATAGAAAGGATCTTTTCATCTTTTAATATATTAGTGGGTAAACAGTCCAAATCACACGAAGCCAACGATTTTTTTATAATTTTAATTATTTCATCCTTCGTGGCTGGTTCAAAACATTCCATTTCATCACCAGAGAACTTGTGCAGTTAGTTAAAACGGTTTCCATTCAATAAATTTAGATTTAGTCCTTGATTTTCTTAATCTTATCTACGAAAAACATACTAAAACGATTCGCTAAATTTATTTTGTTATCGTGAATCGGCAACGCATTCAAATATCTAATTGGGGTTGGTATTGCCAAGCAAATTTATAATATTATAAACAAATATTTTCGTAAATAACACTGACTGCAAAATACGCCTTTGAGAAGTATTACTGATGGAGTATATTTTATATTGATTGATTTAAGTGAAAAAAAAATGAGTTGAACCAAACTATTTCTTATTGGTTGTACTAGTAGCTTCGTGGTGAGTGACTTTCGCGGTAAGTGGGTTTGTATCTGGTAGGTTTCGCGGGGAATAGTGCTTTGTCTCAGTTACTGGTCCTTTCATCCTTGTTGAGAAATAAAGTTTATATTGCAATTTCTTTCAATTTGAATTAGTTGTATTGCAATGCATTAGTAATAATGTAAATATATATGTACATTCCTTTATTTCATTGTTGAGACTGAGTTATACAGTTTAAGTACTACAATTTATCTATATTGGAAAACGGTTATGGGGATTATTGATTTCAATAAACAATATTCAACTATCCTTTGCAACACCAACAAGATCCTAATGGTAATGTTTATTGGTCTTTGAAACAAGAGGCATTATCAAAGCATGGGTCTTATTTTGGAACTCTTGCCAGGATGGTATTCCCAGAATAGCGCC